TAATTTGCTGATTATTGACTTGTTCCCACAAAGGATTTTACTCAGCTTGACATATGAGCACTGATCAGTGATGAACTGTCAAGCTGTTCACTGCTTTAGAGCTCATGTCCCTAACCTACAGAAACAAGGATTTTAAATTTCAATTTTAAAATATCATCTAGTGTTAACTTCAGACTGTTTTCATTCATACAGAAGCATTGTGCTCCTTTCTGTCAGAACAAGGCTTCTTTGCACTAACTCAAGTCTGTTACAGCTTGCATTTCTTATTCTAAAACAATTTCTGTTGGCAGCAGCTTGACTGAATTTTGATTGCTGGACAAAACTGTCGTGGAATCTCCTGCTGTAACACCCTATTAACAAGCACCAGGACCCTGCCTGAATGTGAGAAAGTTTATGCTGGTTGATATTGCAGATTCAGACCACATCTATACTAGTTTATGTACAGCATGTTTCATTAACCCCACTTATGAAGAGGTTTAGAACTGCTCCATCTGAAGAATGGAAAGCAGGTCCCCTGAGGAGGAGCCCAGCTCAAGAGGAAACACAGATGATATTTCTCATTATTTAATTTAACAGAAAGGTCACAAAATTTCTATTCTATTAATGTGAGGTGGAGTGAAAGGAAAAAAAACTATGCCTGATCACAGCCTTCTCAGATGAGAACATCATAATGAAACCTAGAACAAATACATCTGATCATACTGCAATATAAAGTTCATCCTGAATTAAGAAAAATATTTTATACTACCAACTACTGCCAATTGGATTTCTTGTAAAAGATACAGGCATACCTCCCTCATAGTTTAGTCAAAAAATTAAAATTAACCTGCATTTATAGCAAACTTGGATGATTGCTTTGGAGCTTTGGTTGCCCTAAGTAATTTTCATTTCATGATTTATACTTTTGTTTGCTTTCCTTGACTAAATTGCCATTTTATTCATGATGGAATAGGGGAAGTGAGCACTAAAATTCTGAATTAAATGAGACATGCGCAATGAATTATGCCATTACCTCACTGGAACAGCTGAAGATCCCCAAACATAATTTCACCCTGAAGACAGCATATTGAATGAAGCCTTACATCCAAAATCAAAACATTCTTAAGAAAGGCTCCCACCCTGGAAGATATTCTCTGAAGATATATATTTTGTGGTGCCTGGATGGCTGGAAATGACTGAAAATCAGTCAGCAGTCCGCTGCAATTTCCTAATTTTTCAGTCTTTGTATCAAATTTCAGGACACCATATGCTAACATGGAAAACTGACTACATGTCTTCCCCTCCTTGGGCTGTGCACTGCTGAGGCTGATGTCTTACCACTCAAACACACCCATCCAGTAACTCACAGAACACTGGAAAACAGCTTACTACAGAAAGCTGGTGAATTTTGGACAGCCAAAGTTCCTTCTGCAAAGGAAATTCTTAGAAGCAGAGGTAATAAAGCCATGTCAGCCTCCTCACTCCTGTACTCGTAAGTCTAATCAAAGATTTTGGTCCTCAGCTCATCAGTTCTGTCTCATAGATAATGGGATAGTTTTATCCCAATTTGTGCCAAGATTATACCAGAGAATTAAAACCTTGTATGACATAATTACTTATTTTATAAATGTATTGTTGAAGTATGTAGCAAAAAATATGACAAATTAAGGAATTTAGGAAATCTCTAAACTTCAATCCTGTATATAAACATAAACCTAACAAAGATGACCTAAGTTTTGCATTCTGACATTCAAAGCCAACAAACACATTGATAAAGTACCTGGGCATGTGATGGTGGGAGTCCTCTTCTTATATAAACACCAAAAAGAGCATCCTTTCCTAAGGATATGTTGAACTTCAGGAACTGTGGCTGGCTGATATGGATCTGAGACCTCCAAAAAACTCCGGGGGGCACCTCCTGGGTGACTCTGTGGCCAACTTCTGTTTCTCCACTATCTATGCTGCTATTCCTAGTGACCCATGGTCCTATAAAACAAAAGCAAATATAAATCAAATTAGATAAGTGGTTTTAATACAGGTAGTTTTATTCATTCAAGATGAACATCTGTGGCAGTGACACCTCTTAAATCAAACTAAAATTTTCTCATTCTGGTGCAATCTGCCTGCTGTTTCAATCAGTATGTAAGAATTTGGCCCTTATGCTTGAAGCAAAAACTCTGCAAACCTTATTTTTCTGTGGAGCATCAGCAATCTTCTCATCCCTCAAACCCTTTAATTATGATTGCTCCTCACTGATCAAACAGCAACAGCAGAGTCAATTAAACACATGTGAATCTCCCTGTGCTCTCTTCAGTTGCATTTTGTACACAACCAGGGTATAAAAAATTGCCAGAAAGGTGAACTGAAGGGTAACTTCAATCTAAATGAACTGATTGTAAATTTTCATTACCACTGTTCTTCACTGAAGTAGTCCAATAGACTTTAGGTCACAGACAAGAGAGTTGACAGAAGAAATGAAATGCACACAAAAGGGTTTAGAGGACAATGTCTGTGCTCTAACATGCATCTTCTTGAAACAGAGTTAGCACAGAGTTAGCACAACTCAGTGCAGTGTCTTTGAAATTCTCTCTGCCTAAAGCAGGGTCTATCTACAAGTCTTTTTCCCTTGTGCTGTGGTTAGTTAAAATCCATCATTTGTTGGTTTTTCAGCATGCATTATTGAAGACAAGATACAAGGCCTTTCTGGCTGAATGCTCTGGCTTCCAGCCCATGAAATAGTCAACTCTTAAAACCTGGTGCAAATCCCTTCTGTTCTCAACTGAACAGGTTCTGAGGCTACACATATTTTAAACATGGAGTGCAGAACATGTAGTTAACAGTGTTTTTAAGCTACAATATGCAGCAACACTTGATTTTGTGCTCTACATTCCCAAACAACATGGTGAGAAATCCATTTTAAAATTCTTACAACAGACACTATAATAAACCAGACAACCACAGAAAATATCTGTTGACAATCACAGAAATTTAAAGGTATCACTAATATCACAGACTGGATGGTAGTGATACCTCTGATACAGCCTGACAGCATTTGTAAAAAGTTCAGTGTTCACCTCATGAGGGTTCTTCTGCCATGGTGTAATGCTATTTTCAATACATGGTAAGTTACTTTTGAAATACATTCCAGCACTGTATGAATGTAATGGGATGGCACAGAACAACATATAATTCTAGCAGGTAAGTACATAACAGCTTTTCTGTCTTGACTATCTTTAATTGAGAGAGCTGCAAAAGCACGGTTTCAATTATAGATTCTAAATTATCTATGCTAGCAGCACTTACACTTGTACATAATGAAACAGATACTATGTTGGTGGTGTTTTGAAATGGTAAAAGAATGCTCTGAATACCAACTGCTATACAGTTTTTGGCAACTTGTTTGTTTTTTCATTTTCTATGTTAATAGGGCTACAATAACATCACTGACAAAGAAAGAGAAAGCAGAAGAAGCTGCAACAAGAGGCTGCAAAGAAAGGAAAAATGGCTGAGAGTGTCCAGCAATGTGCCCTTAGAGCCACAGAGAGCAACCAGATCCAAACACGTTCTGCTTTCATTTCTAATGGACTACTGCAACAGAGGATATCTCAAGGTTCCTATCTCAATGAAGGCAGACACCACCTCACTAGAATTTAAATTAGTTCTTACCTACCTACATGGAGAGGAAAACCAGGGGCAGAGAACACACTAAAAATCACCTGTGGCATATTATACTAACAGTGGCAGAGCTGGGAAGTCAGCAAAAGACTGCAGGCACCTTCACCTCCTTTGAGAACATTACATTTACTTCACAATTCCAACATATGGTAATAAATGATGAATATTTTTTCAATATTAAAAAGCGTACTGTAATTTCTTTGGAAGCAGACTGATCATATTTTAATGAACATCAACTGTATCTAATCTGCAAAAGGCTCAGTGACACACTCTAAAGAACCTTGTTCTTCAGGAGCAATATATCTATAGCTAACCAATCAAAGAAAAAGCTGTTCCCAGGAATTATTATTATTATTATTATTATTATTATTATTATTATTATTATTATTATTATTATCATTATAATCATCATCATCATCATCCAGTGCAGCAGATGTACGGAGCACGTGAATGGTAAGGCCACAACAGTTTCTCCTGGCAGTTAAAGTTTCACTGGCTCTTAAAGCAACTCCAAAACTGCCAATGACTTTTGCTAATTACGTATATATTCTCTAGAATTGTAACTTTGTAAATAAATTTAATTCTAATGGAGGATCAAGTTTTAGTATTTCTGGAAAAATTTAGCCTCAGTGTCCTTTGAATATCCAAAATTCTGCTCCATACTTCTCTATGTGAAAGGGCATTTTTCAGGACTCAAGGATCCTCAAATGCATCAATTAAGCTAAAATGATAAAATTTCAGCCATCAGAAGAACCAGAGTTACATTGATGCTACTTCAGAATGCAAAGGTAAAACAATATAATGGATGTGAGACTTTCCCCCCCAAAAATAATAGAAGAAGGCAATTCCTTTGTATTTCTCATCAGAATGTTGAAGTTATCATGGTGAAATAAAAATTGGTGAAAACTGCAGATAGGACAATCAAATTTGTAGTTATTACTAAGCCCAGAGACATGATTCAGGTTTTCCCAACACTAAAATGATTCTGTTCAGTTTGATATTGTCCTTGGAAGCATCTATCCACAGATACACTTTTATTTTCCTCTACAACACAAATGACCTGGTTTCTAGTTCTCCAAACCACTCCTCCTGGAACATCTTAAGAAAACTTCCCCAGGAAGGGAATTGTGACAGGGGTTCACCGCAGCAAAGGATTTTAAGGTTAGATGATCAGCTCTCAGAAGTGATCGAGATATTTTTAACCTGCAGCAAAGAATGGGGCAGATGGGTGACTCTCTTTCAGTCTGTATTTCTGTAGTGCAGAATGTTCTATACCCAGCCTGTGCCACATCTGCAAGGAACAGCTGCTGCCTCACCTCTGGCATGCTGAAAGGATCCTTTCCTTTTGCTTTTAGTTTAATTCATGGCATCCTGTTTTTACGGAGCTACAGTACAATGCTGTAATAACTAAATTTTGAATTGCTAAAATCTAGGTTTCATATGTGCAAGCTTAGCTAACAGCTTATAAAGTTTTAAGTCCAACAAGATATCACTAAACTCCAAAGATTATGCATTATTGAATCATGCTCTCATAAATTCCTGCTGAGTTACTCTTATTGGTATGAGACACAAAACCAGTGACAGCATCTTGGTTCTCTGCTCCTTGCTCTGATACTGCCAGGGCACCTGGGTTGGTCATGATCTTGCTCTCAGATGCCTATTTGTAAAACAGAATTATTAACAGTGACAGAATTATTAACAGTTCTCATCTTGAAGATGAGGAATGCAGAGCAGTAAATATAAATATTACAGGAGATGTCTCAGTACTGGCCTCTTCACGTTCCTTCCTCCCCAGGTTATAAATACAGAGAGGAATGCAAAGTAGATACGACCACTGAATCTACCTTAGTTAATAGGCTGAAGTTTATTTTTTTTTAACCTGAAAAGCAAACCATCATCCTAACTGGTATTTGCAATGCCTTTTTCTGCACTAACAGCTTCACTGACAAACCCTGTCACCAGAGACTCAAACTTTTTTTATAGCTCCCTTCAGTCCTCACCTCCTGATGCACAGAATGTATCTTGCCACCTGACTCACTCCCCTCCAGCTATTTTTAGAAGCTTTTCCATTTGATGGACCACTGCAGATCACATTCAAAGAGCATCAACTGCATTTAAGTGAAGTTACAAATGTGACAAACTGACAAATCTGTGAAGAAAGACTAACCCAAACTACTCATACTGCAGTGAACAAATGAATCCCAAGATCATTCTCTCTGTAGTGGGTGACTGCTGTAAAGTTCTATGTTTATCTCATAACCCCATAGATACTTGATTTTTTTTCCCTGTCATTTTCTCTCTATAAACATCTACAAAAGAGTTTTAAAAGCATACTTCTTCATCTTACCCAGGGGAGCCATTTCAATCACTCAGTCAAACATATATTCATCAACTAAATAACACTTATTCATTTAAACTGCTGTTTTATTTACCCAGCTGAATTACTATTTTGGCATATACATTTGAAAAGACTGTTTTTAGCATTCGAGTGTATTTGCCTTTGAAGCTATCAGACAGGCAATCCATGACAACAGCGATGCAAACTCCCCCTGCTACGTTGTCAGCAGGTCTCATCTGTGAGCTGGAGGTCAGATTCAAGGTGGCAGTGGATGGGACATGCCCAGTCAGCCTTTAATTTAACTGATGTCAAGCAGTGTCAGCCATGGAGGCAGAGCTGTATTTACACTGAAACCAGATATACTTGATTATTTATAACTACAGTATCCTACACTGTAGCTAAAATTAAAAATAAAAATGAAATCTAGCTACCAGCAATGTCACACTACAGACATCACATTTAAACAGCAATTAACTCCAGTGCTGTGGCTGTGTGCCTCTATCATGGGGATGACTGCAAATTGCATCTTGATGGTACTCTTGAAAAATACCTACCAGAATAACCATACCAATGGATCAGAAATGAGCTACCAAGATAATGTGGACAACCTCAAGTTAAATACAAGGAATAAATATCACCACGGTGGGTTCAACTCTCTTTACCTTCTTTTCCTGTAGTTCTATATTTCTTATAAATCTCTGCTACAGACATAGTTTATCTTTATATCTAGATTATTTTTCTGTTGTTCTTTTTATACAGCCAGAGATTTTCACAGATGACTTGGAATTCTGAAGAAATTTGTGGTACAGCTGTGTAAAGGAAACCATTCAATATAAAAATAGACTCCACGGACTTTTTGCCAAAAAAGACCATGTGAGAATTACTATGGTTCTTCATGATAGTTTAACTTCTTTCCTTAAGTAAATTTGCTACTTATATGACCAGACATGTCTTATTATTCCAGAAAGGCAAATCAAATAAAGTAGAAAATGCCTTTTCCATACAAATATCTTCAGTGGAAAAATCAGTGCTATGCAGTGTTACCATACTGACAACTCACTGTATGAACTTACACTTCAAATTATCTACTATCACCTAAGTGCCCTAGGACTCAGGTGAGAACAGATTATCTCTGGAATGTGTACAATAGATTGACTGCTACTGCAATACAAATTTAGGCACTTCTTCACATTCATGTGAGCACGGCTTCACAAGAGTCATTGCTTTCAGAATCAAAAGCAAATTTTAACTGAAATAAAATTAAGATCTGTTGGTTCACTGCATTTCACAAAAAGCAAATACATACTAGCATGGATTTCTAAATCAGGGTAACAATCTCTGATTGTTCATCTCTTTGGTGCCTGAGTGAGAACGAAGGACTTCTGTAAATTGGAACCTTTGGAAATGGCATATACCAAATTCATCACCTAACTTTGAACTCATGTTATCACCATTAACACACCCACAAATCTAAAACTCTTCTTCTGCTGAATTTAGCCAAAGTCTTTGCTCTTCTGAGACAGCCTAACAGAGTCTGCTGTATTTTCAGAAGACCACATCTGCCAGCCTTCATAGCCTCCATCTTAATAGTTCTGCTTGCTAATGTGTTAATTAAGATCTACATTACATTAGCCACATAACTACTTAACAAGATTAATCCACCTGGAAAATGATGGCTTGTCTTGATTAAACCGAATGAAGGTAAGAGGAGTGACATTTAAAACACATTGACTGTTATTACATTTTGATGGTCTGTTTCAAAGCGTCTAACAGGAAACAGCAGAAACCGGGAGATTCATGTTGTTTCCATTGTTAATGAGGGATGAGTTTGTCTTTACAAGACGAGGGATAGTTCCCTGCAGCTGCAGCCGATCCTTACACCGGGTGGTTTTCAGCGGGAGCACAGCCGGGGGCAGCGCGGCTGCCTCGGGCAGCGGGTCTGAGCTGCTCTGCCGGCATCCGAACCAGCCCATCCCTCTGGCAGGATGGCAGATCCTCCCATTTCAGCATTTTGTCACTCCTTTAGCATTGCCTGTGTGCTGCATTGCTAATAAAATATCTCAACTATTAGAAAACAATCTGTGCGCAAACCCAAATGTGACTCGCAGCTGCAGCATCTGGCAGAGGTCTCAACATCATTTGGAGAGAGCTGAAGACAACCTGTACAGCACCACAGTGACTGCTGAGCTCAGCTTTCCACATCCATCCAAGGACAATCTCTGCTACATCAGTAGAAATCTGTTTTTCCCCTCTCTCAGCTCAAGCAAGTGAGATGGTGCCAAATTTAACAGCTAGTTAAACTTTCTTTGTTTTATTATTGACATTATATTTGTAATTCTGAATTTGGTATCTGGAAACAAGTATTTTTCATGACACTTCAGTGTTTTAATAATTGTAATATTTTTGAAAAAAGTATTTTTGAAATCCACATATACTGTGGTAGACTTTATGAAACACCTCAAACTGAGAATGAACTTGGATCAGGTTGGTTCATCCAGAGAGAAGCAAACTCTGGATTATGTGAGCATCAAAACACAAATTCACACCAACTTTTTAGAAATAGTCAGTATTTATATAGTATTTATATAGTCACAATAGCATTTATTGTACCTAAAGTGATCTTTCCACAACTGTCAACAATTACTTTTGGTGTCTTTTAAAATGGGAGGTTCTCGAATCAGAGATCACAATCTATTCCTGTGTTTTTCAGCTTTCTGGAACATTACTATAGCAAACAATCAAGATAAAAAGTACTAAGTCAGTTTTGAATTACTATAAAATTTGCTAAATTTGTGAGCACATCAAAGACAATATGTCCTAAACAAAAAAGTTGACACCAAAGCGTTCTTTATATGGGTTTTCAGCTGGGGTTAGTGTAGGTGTATTCTGTCAATTCGAAAGGAAACAGCACATTGTCACAGATTTTCTGCAAATGTGTGTCTAGCCCACCACATAATTTTAAATGTAGAAAACTTTTGGCACAGATTAATAGAATTTAGGCACAGATAAATCCCATAAGGTCATCTGTTTCACTTCTTTTTGAAGAAGAAATTATTCCCAAACATGCCTTTTTTCTTTTCCCCCACTTCCCCCCTTAATTTAGATTTATTACACCCAAATTCTAATGCTATCTTCATGCAACATAAGAGATAAATGGGCTTCACTCTCAGAAAGCTTTTTAATGTCATTATAATCTATCTCATCCCTGTAGAAATTCCAAGGCAGTATCACTTTTTGGGGTTTTATACACTATGAAGGGATACTGCCTTATTATCTGTATTAAGAAAGGAGTTTTTGTCTCTTAACTTAAATCCCTAGTTGAACACAACTTTCACAGCATGGTGGACTTCACTTGCAGTTTTAAAGCAGCACTGAGGATTTTCCTGCCCATTGCACTTGCCTTCTCCTTTCAGACATACCCACTATTAGTGAGATGTAGTGTGTAATTACAAAAAACCTGAAACTGTGTTATCTTAATAGTGAATTTTGTTTTCATTCAGATAGGAAAATGCAGTAATAAAGTAATTTACATTCCCCTTAAATTGCAGTTTTATTATTTCCTACCAGAATTTAGTCTCTTAATAAGGAACAGGCAGATCAAATTGAATACCTGCTCTTTTTTTTCTCCTTTCAAATTGCTCTACTTTAAAATGCTTTGCTTGCTGAGTAGGCACAGCTTGTGTTTAAGTGGCCCTTCTCAGACTAGGGGTTAAAGGTTTCTTTGGGAGACCCGTGTTTTGAAAAGAATGGCTTCATCCTGAGTTGTGTCAATTATAGAAAGGTCACTCTCCACAGCCAGAGCCCTGAAATGGTTGTTGTGTTAAAAGCTGTCAGAGGCTTTCCTAAAAACTGCTGGGATAGCAATATTAACTTGGACATAAAAAGAAAGGTGAGGTAGAAAAACTTTTCACCCTTCCCTGCTCTTAGAATTTGTCTTCTAGATATTCCTTGTGTTCATCCAAACCTGTCATTCATTTTATTCCACTGTGGAAGATTACTTGCCTAAATATTGTTCTTCCTCCTTCCCCCACGTTATCAAGTTGCATTTCAGCAACCCTCTACAAAATGTCAGAAGAACATGTAAACTTTTCCAACATGCTCCGAGGAGAGCTAACTGCAGCAATTTAAGACATAACCAGCAGTTCTCTCTCCTTGTCTCCTCTACAGGAGGTTACCACTCCCAGAACAGCATCTCAGCCTCTTCAAATGCACAAAGCTAATTAGAGTGGGGCTGGGATAAACTGCCAGAATTTGCACTGAAGTGCCCCAGGCAGATGAGCCCACTCCAATTCTGCAGTCCTGCTGCCCTATATTTGCACAGAGATGGCAACAAAAAGCTGCAGGGAGGGAACTAGGAAAGGTGTTAAAGCCCTGCAGTTGTCTGCTAAATGGCCATAATTGCCGACCTGAGCTCTTCAGGTTCCTGCCCAAAACCACAGGGTCTCTCACCTGTGCACAACCTGGAGGCAGTTCAGCAGCAATGAAAACGTTCTGCCTTGCACTTAGGGATGTGCTGGTCACGCACTTTGACCTACAGCCAGTCAGAGATGAAAGCCAAACCCATGAACACTTGTCTAAAAATGTTCAGGTTTTTGGCACTATCAGGATGTAGGATTTCATGACAAGGAGGAAGTAAAAACTAGATCCTCCGTGGAAAAAATGGAGAAGCTGAGGTGCAGCAGCATTTATTGAAAACAGAAGCAAATCCATTAAATGAGCAAGCTCATAAAAGAACAAGTTTGTTTCCTTTTCCAAGTCTATTTTAACTGATTGGTTTCCCAATATAAGTATCCTGTGTCAGTATTTGCTTCTAACTCTTGCTTTGGCAATTACCAAGTTTAACGTGAGCCACAGGTCCTGAGTGCAAGGCAGTGCTCAGCCTCTGAACAGAATTCTTCAGCTGACAAAAATCAAGTGCTCAGACTTCTATTCCAGTCATGCCATCCACCATCCCAGCATATTAAAGTGTGGGAGATGCTTTGTCTAATTGTAACATTCTGTTCTGCCTTCTCCCCATAATTTTTATAATAACCAGAGAAGACCTTACTGTGATGTAGCAAAGAAAACCCCTGAACCTCACTAGTAAAAAGCATTCCATTTAAATGATTAAAATAATTTTTGTGACATCTAAGTTCTCTGTGTTTTTAACAGATTTTCTCAGTTTAAGAAAGTATCTTTGGTTCTAGGTTTTACTTATTTTTTCTTTCCCCTCCCGTGTCTTTGTCAACCTCCTCTGGAACACAGGTTTTATTTAAGAGAAAAAGAAACCATTTTTTGTTTAATTTCTCACATCATTATCACAGGACTGACCATTTACCATGGGTCAAATTCTGTTCTCCTTGGTGTTTGCTATAAGAATTAATCTGAGAAAGAAGAACCAGGGATGTGGTCCTGGCTGCAAGCCAGTCCTTGCCTTCTCTCAAGCACTACAATGCACTGGTAACTAAACAAAGCTTTTCACAGAGTCCCAGAACGGGTCAGGTTGGAAAGGATCACAGTGGGTCATGTGGTCCAACCCCCCTGCTCCAGCAGGGCCATCCCAGAGCACAGGGCACAGCATTCTGTCCTGAATGTTCTGGAATATCCCCAGTGAGGGAGATTGGAGCAATATGATCCAGTGCTTGGTCACTGCACAGGAGCTCTGTCTCATGTTCAGGTGGAGCTTCCTGAGCATCAGTTCCCGCCTGCTGCTGCTGTTCTGCTGGCTGTGAAGAGCCTGGTCCATGCTCTGAGCCCTCCCTGCAGATATTTACACAATTCATGAGGTCCCTCTCAGCCACCTCTGCAAGCTGAACAGAGCTCCCTCAGCCTCCTCTTTCTTTGGGATCTCTAAGCCTGAGAAAAGAGCATGTAGCCAGTAAACACAGCACATTTCTGAGAGCACTTCCCCAGTGTCCGAGGCAACACGACTTCACTGGCAATAAACCAGAACCCACAGGAT